CTTGTTTGGTCAGCCTTCTGTATTTCGATTAGTTAGCTGATGATGGAAGTCAGAGAAGGAGATCAAAGCGTTGAAACTGAAAAATGCCTCTGTAGTTGTGCTATTGTCCGCGAAGATTTGCGGTCTTGCCTAATTGCTTCCACACTAGCTTCGACTTGAGTTCCAACTAATGAGTTGGCTTACAATGGTAATGATGTTAATAATGGGCAGTGTGTGACTTAAAGCAAAACAAACATGAAAGCATGGATGGTGGGTCATTAAAATCAAGTAACAGTCGCTCAGCACTGACAAAATTTGGAGCCGTGCTGTCACGCCGCCCGAACTTACTACGAGGACTGAGGTAATGCCAATTTGTTCAGTTTGCCTAGGCAGGAGTAACCGGGATGCCGGAACTGCATCCAAACCACGGGAATTCCGATTGGTCAGTTAGCGCGCCAAACACACCGTTGTGTTCCAATGTGTGCATACGCCCAGCGAGTATCAGCTGAGGGCTTGTGCAAAGAAACGAGCCCACATAAATCCACAGGTTCTTTTGGTCAAGCGATGGTTGGGAGCTAATGCTACGCTTGCACGTCTTCCGCCTTTTAGTAGATTTTGAAGGTCACGGTGGGTAGTATCATAATCAGATATAGACTGTGAAATCCGATGAACTAGTTTCTACCTAATGAGTGGACTGAAGGTTATCGTCATCCACAACCCAAAATGAGACTGTGCATCCATGGGGAACAATATAATACAATCGTCGATCCGGTCGTATTGAATGTGGAACTGACCCTCCGACAAATCGGGAAGATGAAGACCTAGAACACAATCCATGTCACATGATGAGTTTTCCAAGTAGGACGCAACTGGGTGGATTGGGGACAATTCGTTTCCGGAATATCGTGTGCTGTTGGAGAACTTCGGCACTGACGATCTCCATTTAACGCACCTAGTAATACAGCCGCGAGCCGACAGGTTTCTGGCCTTGCAGGTTAACATTGGGTCTGTGGTGCCTGAGCGTCCCAACTGGTCGAACTCATTTGCTAGACAATTTGCTTCACCTGGATATTTGAGTTAAACGAATGGGGACGTGTGGCATCCGATTCTGGTAGTTCACATGCTCGCTCTACTATAAGCCACTTGTGCTTTTGCGAAATTCGCATTTATGCATCCAAGTAATGAAGGATGATGAATTAGAAGAGATCAAATGGATGAAATTTGAGTAGTGTCGTATAAGACTGGAAAGGGCGTTGGTCATTCCGCCCTATTGGGTATGTGTCGTTTGGTTTGGTCGTTACAAACAAATACCAGTCACATAATCAGCCGCGCGGTGAAGCTTGTCATTATCAATACTACTGGTGCCGTAAGAAAACTATTCGTTCAATAAGAATCGCGGAAACGGCTTTCCATGCACCACCTCATCCAAACGATGGTTGCTTCAGTGATTATGGAGCCGTTCACCACCGTTTAATGGCGTACTGTAACTGCTAAGATGACGACCTTAGATGCAAATGGAGGATTCGCTCGAGAGTCCGGCTGATTTCGACTGGTCTGTTATTGTTTTACAGTAGACAAGCACACATCCAAGGTCTTCCACACTTGTAGGCTTACTAATCGATTGTGGATTTCCAGAGTGCGAATTCAAACCAACATGGTGTTAGATTTAGTCGTTGATTCTTCCGAACGGATAAGGAATTGAGACTTGCGATTTTACTGGGGATTAGTGGAGTCGGTATATTTTTCTCACATGATATCCATCTATTAAATATCCTCATACATCCTGAGCCCGTGTGAACAGTCTTCAGGTCCAGGCGTAATACACTACGCACAAGTTTGTTGCTGAATACCCATCGATGGCCCACGACTGGTTACACGGGGCTCATCAAGTAGGCGCAGGCCTCGATTTTCCGTCAACTATACGCTCTTTGTGAACTCGAATTAGACAGATTTCGACAAATCAACTCATTCGCATGTTAGTTTGGTTTTGACTGGCGACTCATCTGGAACCCAGCTGAATCCCTCGTTGACGAGGACTTCAAGCAGCTGAATGTGCCGCACCAGTCCGCTTCATGTTTCAATTGGCACGATACTCGAGATATTCAGTTGGGCCTTAGCTGAGTACCCATCAAAATCAAACTGGTATGCAAATGGGTTTATTTCACTAGTCTTCATGTTTCCTGTGCATATGCATATGAGTTCACAAAACTGTTGAATTTGCGGACAAATTGATCAGCGCGTGAAAAGAATTCCAGGTACGGATGAGCTAAATGAACCACACTGAAGTGTATGACCGTTGAAGTTTGGGATGAAATCTTGAAGCCAGATATTATTGATCCACTGGAATTCCGGGCGCCTACATCTGACTTAGAAACCGGAGAAACCCAGATGGTTTGGCTTCAAACTTCGTACTCAAACGACAACTGTCCTCACGATAGATCAGTTTGTGTGAATGGAATTAAACGTTTCTCTTAAAGAATAATTTGGCAGGCCATGTTAAACTGGAGACTATTGAAGGGAACGCATCACAATGGAAAATATAAAGCAAATGATGTGCTTGATAGACCAGCTCCTGGAATTTTGGAAGGACAAGCGTTTTGCGTACCAATCAGGAATTCTTTGCGTGCAGTAAAATGTGGCCCACCATTTGCGTCAAAATGTAAACTGGCGAAACGGGGTACTCTGAGAGAAATTGGAAGCATGAGACACTGCGAAATTGTAGCAACAGGGTAACACACACCAACAATTTCGAAATCAGTAATTTGGCTCGCTACAGATCGAGGATTTATTATAAACAGTACGAACATTCGAATGGCCGAGCTTTGAGTCCCGTTTTGGGATTGATTTCTGTTAGAATCATTGCATACCAATTAGTGACAATTTGTGCATGATGGCGAATTTACCGAGTTGAGTCCACGCTGGTTTCAGGGCGATTACTGCACCTTTCGGTAACATTCTGACCATGTCATTTTGATTACTATCTATGAAAGAGTCTGAAATAATGTAGTGCACTCCCATAACAACGTCTCAGCGAAGCATAGCATGATGCAGCTTATCCCTCAATCACGGAATCCATATCACCTGGTAACACGTGTCTCCTCGAGTGAAGACTTCTAAGATGGAATTTTCATTCCGCTTGTGAAATGATCCTTCCTCTGATCTACTGAGGGAGCCCTGTCTAGGCTCGGGCAACCTGACAGTATCCCAGTCCTCGTGCAACCTTCGGGTGGCATGGCAGTTAGGCACCGAAAGGGTGCTACAGCTAAACGATTTTTTAATTTTTTTTCTACTGACGGAGTAAAGGTTGTACGACGAGATAATCTTAGTGAAGATGTTCTGTTTTATGCCTTCTTCCAAACTCATGACAGCACATTTCACGTACTTCGTTCGAATTTCTGATGCCTATAGGGCTTCTGACTTCACGAACGCAAGCGCTTACCAAGTATTTATGGAAAATTTAGTGGCCACATCGGTTTCTATAAGGCCCTCAATTTTCATGTGCTGCACATTGCAGGATTCACTAAGAGGGTGGCCAACTCTCCCTGTCCATTAGGATTTCGTGGACCGGTTCTAGGTAGGCGTTGATATGTAGGCGTTGTATTTTCAGTTGCAAGCCTTCCTATATTCGAGGTATCCCGCAAGATGTGAGTAGCCAGCAGACTAGATCTGCATTTCCCTGATGGTCATTCGTTGTCCATCCTGGTAATCTCCTACAATGCACAGTTATAGCTTGCTCGTCTGGTGCACGAGGCGCTCAACGGTTTTTCATTAGGATATCTCGCTACCGAACAAATTTGCTCAGTTTTTTGCGCTGAACTAACTGTTCGGCTTGAAATCATCTTTACACGTTTGCGTCATAATTGGGCTTCAAATGGTTGAAAACGCTAAGAGGTTACTTTTTATAAAGAAAACTACACACAAGTTTGCTGAAAACACCTCGACAGATCACGACCGATGCAGCACATTCACAGTTTGGCCCTTCAACGATGGCGGCGGATAATCCTGATGAGGCATGCGTGTGGTTTTTGGTCTTTTCCAAGATGCGGATCGCGTCTAATCGAGAAGGAAGTTTATTACGCAACTTGTGGAACTGCCTTGAAATGTTCGTTAACAGCTGCGTGGTAGACAGCGAATATGCATAAAGTTGCGGGAGACGCGTGCAGAAGTAAAGTTATTAAAAACTGTGTGCATTTGGGACGTCCACCTAACTGTTCAACTGTTTGTAACGGTTTATTTAGTATTTGGTATTGAAAGACTTTGCAGCGAAGGGCTTTTCCACTTTCACCATGTCATTGCCTCCTTTCATCAGTGGGCTACCAAATGATCTGATGCGGGAATTTAATCGTCTTCATTGCGAAGTGTATTGGGTTTCGTCACTGTAACTTTGGTTTTAAGAAATCTAGTGCTCATGGGGACAATACGGTAGGTGTGTTTATTTCGATTGATCAGCAACCGGGATAAAAATCCAAGCGAGACTTGTCAGAATTTTAAAATGTGTTCTAAGATAAAAATAGTGGGCATTTCCGCACAACACGCGAGGCAACGCCAAGCTGAACTGCGATGCCCAAAACAGATTCAAACCAAACAACGATCGGGAGGGGCGGGTCTGAACAGATAAAGCGAGCAGTTGTTATGGGACGGGGAATGAGGATAGCTAGAATTCACTTAAGTGGTGTTCAACGAAGCGTAGAATTATTTTTCCCGGCGTCCCACACAATTCCATGCTGTGACTAGAACACGCAGCGTTGCAGCTTGGAATTGAACGGTCCTCATGTGTTCACGCAGGGAGTGAGATGCACATTTGGAAGCCTGAAGCTCTGTCTGTGAACCAGAAAAAGATGACTTACTACTCCTAGCTCGGCATTCGTCCAATTCATGATCCGCACAGGACAGCCAATCAGGCTCTCGTGTTAATTAGGATTCTTTCAATGAATACTCTCAGTTAGCACAACCTTATCGAGAAAGTGTGCCAGAAATTAGTTGACGGACGGCCTCGCCATTTGAGTCAATTTTCAGTGAAGATGAAAACGCTGGATTCGCTAGTATTTGCGGTCACAGTATTGTGCTTCGCAAATTTTGCATCGGCGCAAGATCACCGTGAGTTTTCGTGCATTTTTCAACGTGCCATAAATACAAAATCATCGTAGAATGAACTATCGATGTCAGCAGTCTGCCCACACGCTGTCCCCAATCAAAATAGCATTTTTCGAAATATTAGTGATAATTTGTCTATTATATATATGCATATACACATATGTATATATGTAAGCTTACACGATGACACGGACCTGTCGGCATTTATAACCAAAGTATTGATGTTGACAATGTTAAGGTTGATAATGGTCATGCTGAGAATGGCGTTGACAACCAGAGCGGTGGTAATGATGATGATGATGACGACGATGATGATGATCACCCATGTTCCTACACGAACTCTTCAGGCATATGTATAGCTAGTGACGAGCTCAGGTCATATGGGATTACCTCATTTGGGCCCTTTCGTGGGTGGCATCTGATCAAAGATATATTGTTTCGATGATTTCATCAAAATTGTCTATTCTCTATTGACCTACAGATGCATTATTTCTTTCTATTCCTACACAGTTGGGCAGCTGGACAACCTATTATCGATATATGCTCCACTGTGTGAGTCAGAGTTTAGATCTGATATCTTGGGTACTAGCGAATTATTTCGTGTAAGGATATATTGAGCCTGCCTCATTCTCCAGGTACAAATTGATTTGCCTCCAAAATTCGCAACCCAGTTATTCAAAAAAATCGTCGACCTATCAGTAGATCACTTCATTTCCCTTGGTATTTTGAGATAGAATATTCGTTGTGTCTTTGAGGTGGGGAAGCTCCCTACAATGCACGAGGCAACGCCATGTTGTACTGCCGTGCCGGTACTAGAGTAGATCTGAATATTGACCTTGGGGGCGGAGCCGGGCACATAAACAGAGCGTTCGTAGTAAGGCAGGGAATGATGATACCAGAAATTTGCTTCTAAAGCAGATGGTGAGCCGAACAGCTGATGCATGCGCACGTGCCCGCAAATTATTGGCAAACGGTGCATGTTTGAGAACCAGAGAATCTGAGGTTTAGATGGAAGACGAATTTTGGAGGTATATGGTCACAGTTTTAATGTAACAAGTAAACGAAAGAGGATAGCCTATTTTGGGCTTGTCCGTAAAGTGGCCGATTCGGGAGATCACTGAATAATATGGCTGTACAAATTAGTGCATTAGGGGTGCACAATTTCCAAAACGATGCACAAACTTGAAAGTTCAGCTTGGCAATATTCAACAACTATTGAGTTTCAGTCCACAAATCGTACCCAAACTAAACCCGTTTCCCGTTTTTGTGCAAACATCAACCACTCCATCTCCCGTATTTACACTTATATATATATATTATATATATAATTCTTGCTTCCTCATGCTACATGTCCGGAGGTTCCTGGAACAAATTTTGCGAAATGTGAAGTTTACATGCATTTAATTAGCCCACTGTTGTTTCCACATTTCTCTTCTCAACGGTCACAGATGCTGACGAAGCGTATGAAGGGACACCGGGAGATACACTCTTTGATACAGTTGACGTCCAAGGGGGAATAAATGAGAATACTCGCCCAATGGCATCGAAAAGTATCGAAATTTTAACTGCGCATGCCAGATCGCCAGGAATCTCATCACGTCCGGTGGAGCCAATCGGTCAAACATTGGCTTATCAATGCCCGGTCTGCGGAAGACTATTTCGTCATCCATCACTTCTCATGGAGCACCAAATATCTCACACAGGCCGTCGTGACCTCAAGTGCAAAATTTGTTCAAGTGACTACAAGGATTCTTCCAGCCTTGCCGAACACATGAGGCAAAATCACGTGGATCAGTCTCTTCCGCCTAAGAAGTCATCTAAGTCACAAGGGTACGCATCGGAACAGACAGAACATCCATGTCCTAAATGCGGCAGACATTTCAAATGTTGGACAGGTCTGAAAAGTCATCAAAGGTCTGTACACCCCGAAGGAGTGCGTCATGTTTGTGAAAAGTGTGGATTGTCGTTCGCCCGTGAGCTTTATTTAAAGAGGCACATCATCCAAGTACACGAAAGTGAGGCAAAGCATACTTGCCCTCATTGCGGTAAGTCAGTCACACGTTCGTGGAATCTGCTGAAGCACATTAGAAACGTACATGGACGTGATCTAGCTGACGAAAAATCTGCGGGTCAATAGCACAGTGATTAACCACTCGGTAATCATGAGTATGACCTCGAGTGGAATACAGGTTTGTCTCCCTTGTAGCCTTCTTTTCACATTGCATGCAAGGATATTGATGAAACGTTTCTGATATGTCTGTTTAGTGATCTGTACTCAGTGCTACTAATAAATCAGTTCATCCACAAATCAAGTATTTTTTCCATTAACAACCCAGTGAGATATCGCAAATATATTCACCATTTGTGCAATATTGTCTGCTGATTCTGGGTCTGGAACAAAATCTTTGGAATGGCAAACAGACTCTGGATGAGTCCAAAATGAGGGTTCACCTCCGAGAAGTTTCTTCCCTCGAGGGTTTTCTGGGGACACTATTATCCCCAAACGAAACCGTATGTTAGCCACACATGGTATTCGGCGTCGATATTCGGGTCATGTGATTACTTGGGGGAAGATTATCTCAGGAGCCATGGAAAGGATAATAGCACGGGGATCCGTTGACATTCACTAGAAACCGTGCCGGAAGTTGACATAATTACTCGTCCTGCCAAAAATCCTTGGTTCCAGAAAATCATAACATGCAGCAATGTTTGGCAAATAATTGTGAACTTTGTAATGCACTACTCATATGGTTGCTGAAAATCCATCGACAGCCCACGACCGGTTTCGCCCTTCTTGAGGCTCATCAGGTAGGCGCAGTCCCCGGGTTTCCGTCAACCTTATGTTCTACTTGAAACCAAATTGCACGAAATTAGCGAATATACACTCATCTGCAAACTAATTTGGTTCTTTCGAGAGACTCACCTGGAACCCAGCTGAATCTCTCGTTTATGATGTTCTCAGGCAACTGAATGTGATGTACCAGGCCACCTCATATTTCAGTCGATACGGTATTTGAAATATCGCGATACACGTATATTTGTAATGTGCTACTCAGCAACCTTATGAGTAGTACATTACAAATATACGTGTATCGCGATATTTCAAATATCGTAGCGACTGAAATATGAGGCGGCCTGGTGCAGCACATTCAGTTGCCTGAGAACATCATGAACGAGAGATTCAGCTGGGTTCCAGGTGAGTCTCTCGAAAGAACCAAATTAGTTTGCAGATGAGTGTATATTCGCTAATTGTGAACTTGTTCAACGTGATCCAATCTCAGGTGAGAAACACCTCAGTTCTATTGGCACCCGTGCTTAGCAGTAATCAACACGTTAATATTGTGATGGAAAATATGTTATTGAATGGTCGTCAAACAACTTTTGGTGACTACTGGAATGACGAATATAAAACAGACGAAACTCACGCTATTCTTCAGTAATAACATTGTTCTGCATGGGTATGGCGAAGCAGTGATTATTTCGGTGGACACGCGAATACAACCAGCTCGTAATCTTTGAATATTTTCCACCGTATACAGACCGCCACAACAAATTCGGTCTATCATCCGAACGGTGAGACCGTGGCTACAAGAGTTGTTGCAGGAAACAATCTGAAACTGGAATCACATTTACCTTCCACATGCGGGTTTCAGTGGATAGCTGACGGCACAATGAAAGTGACTTTGCCGCGTGTAGAAGATTAGTTGTAAGACACTTCGGTGAACGAAATAGCATCAACCAAAATGTGGTGTCACTCCGAATTCAACTGGCAACAGGGCATTTTAGCACGTTTGTGAAGTTCTACGCGACGAATTTTTTCCTCCTGAAGATGAGCGGTTGAACCACTATTCCGTGAAATGGACATGGATCCCTTTTTTGCTGTGTTGCTGAGGTTGTGAAGTGAAGTGAGGACAAGTGAAATAGAGAAAACTGACGAAACCTGTGCGGCATTTGGAGCGTCTCGGAGTTGAATATTGAGCCTTCTCCGGAAGTCTCAATCCCTTCGTCCTCATCTTCATCACTTTTATCGCGTCTTCGCCTTGATTGTGGACTATATCTGCTCATAGCTTGTTTGAAATAGGTTGACGTGAGACCCGCGAGCCACTTCTAGCGGCGTTGCAATGCGCCGTGCCACCGCCAAGACCAGGACGACTGGAGTTGAAAGCCGCAACCATATGTAGTCAACAGGCACAACTTATCACACAGGCATGAACGTTATTTAGCGGTAAGCGAGTAAGATTCTCATTAGAAAGTTGAGGTGATTTGGCATGGAGCCGGATTTCATCAAAGACCTAAAACTGCCTCTGTAGTTGTGTTGATGACCGCAACTACTCGCGATGTTTATTAATTATTTATTCTCTTCGTTTGCTCCGATCTGCATCCCAATTAATGAGTCTGGTTAGAATGGCAAGAACGATATTAAGGGGATAGTGTGTCATTTGTGTCCGGACAAATCTAAAGGCGAGAATACTGGGTTGATGAAAATAAATAATATTCGTTCAGCTCTACCACGCTTTCGGTGCTCTGCTGCCACGCTTCTCGAACGAAATACGAGAAATGAGGTACTGCCAGATTGCCCAAGTCTAGACAAGAACAGTCGACATGCAGAGGAGCAAACGGTATTGTGGTCGTAGTGAGTTCAATCAAGATAGTGGAACTGACCATCTGAAGGATCGGAAGATTAAAGACCCNGCGCATTCCATCTGATGGAGTTGCCAAGAACGACACAACGAGTCGGGTGCGGGATGTTTCGGTCGACTACCACAACTTTGGCTCCTATCATATTCGATCAAAACGAACACTTTCAAAGTGGTTCAACCATCAAATTTCTATCCTACCGGTTAGCGGAAAGACGTGACACGAAGAAGACCAGCTATGCGGTGAATTGGACTGGGAGACGAATATTACCCGTTTGACCGTCAGTGTGGCGTATGGTCTTCAACTAACTATTCACATTTTTCAGCAAAATTATGTTACTGACAGAGAGAGTGGAAGGAATTTCATTCGAATAGTGATGCATAGATTTGGAAAGTGTACATAACTGGAATACGGTCATCTCCTGGAAACGGAGGTCTACGGATGAATAGTTATCCTGACCCTTCTGATCAAAGAATTCCACCAAGGATGACGACTTCTTTATATCATACTTTGTGAAAATTTGCGGACTGGTCATTTTACAAACTAACTGGAAGTTTCTACTTGAGCTTCACGCAATCCGAAGTTTCAAACCCTCGACCTTCCAGCGAGCGACTGAAAAATTGATTGTTTCTTCACAAGCGGCTGCTCATCATTGTGACTGGCCTTCAGCAGGGCAGGATATTGCACCAGTCATTGTCAATCTCGGAAAGCACAATACGTGGTCACACACTGCACGGATCCTTTGGCGACGAAGAGCCTGTCCTGTCTAAGCGAGAGCGAATCACTGCTGATCAGCCGCCTGTGACAAAACGGTCACGTGTTCAACCAGCGGCTGGAATTTCACGGGTTATGAGAGCTGAGTTTCGTGCGATGCACTCAAGGATGAAACAGCGGTGCAGTGCTTCTCAGATTTTCAGCATAGATTGGCTTCACCGATCGGACGAGGTGCTTACTTAAAAATGCCAAATCTCCAATAACATATCGCTTTCTTTTGCACTGATTTCATGGGAATCTGTGACTGAGATTTAGGAAGGATTCTATTGACGGTTTTCAATATGATGTCGAAAGGGTGGGCAATTGTTCGGGTCTTGGAAATCAGAGAGAACGAAAACGATTCTTCCGTATACAGTACGTTATGGTTTATTCGAAAATTCATTAATTTGCAAGGAATCAAATGGCCAGTCCATCGTTATTCTGTAGCTTTATATGTATAGTATATTTTGAACTGGAATTGTACGCATAATGCACATGATGACGGCAATCCCTTTAGGCCAATATTTACGGAAGACGCAACTTCACAACAGGAATTACGAGTGGTGGTAAACTTGCTGACGATAAAGTGCTGCCAAACCAGACCAGCATCGGATCAGGCAGGACATCCACGTCCTGAGGCAGGCACGTCCATGTCAGGCAGGTGCACGAACGTGAGAACAGGTTTCCTTGCCCCCAGTGCCAACAGTCACTCTCATGTGCGGGGAGTCTGATGTTGCACATCAGAAACATGAATAAACTCGAGCAAGCGGACGAAACACCTGTGGGTCAACAGCAGGGGCTTTGAACTCCCAGTGCGCACCAGTATGACTTTGAATAAAATACAGGCTTATTTCCTTTGCTATGTTCTTTTTACATTACATACAGCAAGGCTTTTTATAAAAGGTTTCTGGAATCATTGGTCTGCTAGATAAAGTAAATTCAGTATGAGCTGAGGTCATTGTTGCTATATCAAGAAGACTAAGCAGTTTGCATGTCAACACGCCGATAAAACTGTGCGAAAGTATCCGCTGTACTACAGGCATTACCTACTAGTTCTGGGTCAGGAAAAAAGAATAGAAAACTGATGAGCCCCAGTGATGGTCCAAACCAAAGCTAACTTGTCAGTCTCATTGGGACGTGGTTAGGCAACTACTGAGCTATGATTGATGTGCTTATAAAAACCATTCGTTATCGGTCAAAACCTCTGGAATGCACATAATAGTCCCCCAGATCAAAATAAATTGATACCAACCAAGTTTGCTTTGGGCTTGCAGGTTTAGTAAAAACGGCGAGGAGATAAATTTGTAATTTGCTTTGAAAAACGCGCTCAATCCCGTGCTCACAGAATTCTTGGATAAATAGAACTTGTCGCTTTCATCATTGAAGGCATTCAAGGACTCCCAAAAGAACCCAATGGGATAGGTGACGAGTACACATTCATAGCCCGAGGACGTCAAGCAATCGAGGAGGAACCATTTTGACACGGCACATATTACTTCCCGCGAAATATCGCCCACTTCCATGCCCTTTATAGTGGCACGGCCTTTTATACGGCAGTGAAGCATCGGTGTTGAACACTGATGTCATGCTGTCGATAATGATGATGATGCACGGCCTTTTGGTAAGAACTTGGACAATGCAGCATCAAATTGATGTAGCTGATGGCAGTGAAAGGTTAGTATGGCGAGCCTCCCGGTTTCATTAATAACGTATGTAGGATCACGCCTTTTTAATGGTTAGATATCGCTATCTTCAACAGGACTTCCTAATTCGAACAGCCAGACAATATAATACATGAAACGCTCGACCGACACCATATGGATGCGAATCGAAGTGACTACCCTAAGTATGGTCACGTGAATGCATTGTGTGTTTCATCTATGTTATAAAGGTGGGTGCAACAATTCGGAAATGATAGCAGTAACAGTGCAACTATGTTATTCAGGGAATATCAGTTCCGGTTTGCTTGCAGGAGCCGAAAGTTTTTCGGCCTCGGGGGAATAGTTGAAACTGCGTCACAAAAGTTCATCGGCCATAAGCTCGGATTGGTTCCTACAGAGTTAGGAATGAGACCAAGATTGCGAATTAAACCCACTTGCAAACCAATCTGGTTTTAACAAAAGATTCGGTCGAAACCCAATTGAATAGAATGGACATATTTCACGAAGTGCGCTGTTCGAGTAAAAGATAAACTTGATAGAAAATAGAGGACTGCGTCCACCTTGAGGACGAGACAAACCGGTCTCCAGTTGTTGATAAACCTTCAGCGTTCGTACACGCAGATGTAGTTGTTAAGTTTTCGCCAAAAATTTCCGACGTGCATTTCGATGCGTCTTCTCATTGGTCCACTTCTATCGGTCTGATTCCCTGTGGTTCACACCAAGCAAATCACGTTTACCCAGCTGAATTCGGGATTCCGGGAGAGCATTGCGTGATAAGTAAGTCAGGAATTGATTTGCAGCCCGGCCTGTATTCTTTCAGTGAAGTGCCCAACCACAACCTACTCCACACCACAGCGTTCCATGTCATGGCCGAGAACAAGGAATGAACACTCGCCGATACGATGAAGTCAGCGTGCTCATACGAATTTTTAGCTCCCACATCGAATTCTGAATTTTGTGGAATTCGTCATTTGCAACCCATTACTGGTCGTTTCTATTCCCGTTGTTTAGAACAGGCATCCTGTGGTTCAATCGCTGTCGACAAGCAGATCCGTATCGGGTACTATCCCAATGCACCTCGTTTTTCAAGAACCATTAACTCAAATGGAAAGCGTACTTCTCAAGACACTTAACTAAGAGGAACTGGTGAATTAGCCACTCCTTGTGGATAGTCACGTGCAAAGACTGATAGGACATCTTACCTCAAAAAGGGTGCAAAGCAGAACGAAGTTGATGGCAGTACAATGAGATTTAAGCTACGCAAGATATTTAACGGGAAAATTAATACGCACATCCGTCGTCTGCTCATCGCACAACACGACAGAAAGGGGTGATCAACGAAATGGACAGGAACGTGTTGGGGTGTTGAATGCAAGGGTGTTGTTGATGCAAGCGTCGTCAAATGGACAAGCGGAACAGGTGCTTTCTAGTTCGGTTCTAAATGAGCTGGCTGCCTAGTGCGGTTTTCTGCTTCAAAATCGTCGATGTCTGCGTTGTAACCAACAGCAGTAAGACTGTGCAACCATGTTGTGTCTGTCCTATGTCCCTAATTATTTACCTGCTCTCAGGCTACAGCGCCATCAGTTCTACGCTTACCGTGACAAGAACGAACGAGCGGACGGCATGCAAAAGCGCTGCGACTGGCTACACTGCTACCAAAGTCGTAAGTCATGCGGTTGGTGTTACATGGTTATCTCCCGCGTGGTGTTGCATAGACAGACTTTACCTGCAGAACGGAATCTCCATTTTAATTTCCAGTGTACTTAAAGTGTGACGGAAACTCAAGAGCACCGCTAGAAAAATGGAAAGACGGGGTCCGGAAGACTGCGTCCACGACACGACGCCTGGTAGTTTGCGCTTGACTAATCGAAAGTTACCCTTCCTTATCTAACGAAACCCGTGCGGCATTCGCAGCGTCTTTCGAAAACCAGTTTCCGCGTTCATCTTTGAGTTGTAATGCTCGGCGTGCTTCGTGAGTAGCAACAACTATCGAAAGCTTCTGAGCTCACTCATCCTTCTCCAGGAGAAAGTCACCGCAACGTAGGGTAAATAATTACTGTATGCTAATAACCAACCTGATTTAAAAGACCATAAGCATCTTAGAAAAACACATGTTGGATGAACGTACAAAAAATCTCTTTTTGGCCAAACAATTCGAAGCCCAAAGACAAGCACACGGATGTCCAGAACGCTCCGTGTTACCAAACAAACTGAGCGGCAGCACGTTTTGAGGCTTGGAAGAGGGGGGGGGACTATTAACCACACCAATGTGCTAGTCAGCGTTCCCAATAGACGTAATAACAGCGATACTAATGTTGGTTAGGTCAATAATCAGTTGGTGGAATGAGAAGGGACTGTACAAATTGGAGAATGCCGACTGAGACGGGAGTTGTCGAAGAGGAAGGAGGAAGTGCGGACCAAGAAGACTGATAAGGTCGGTACTAACTGGGCTCAGCTCAGGTCGAATGAGCGGTTCATGGCGCATTCACAAAACAACACGAATAGTCAGCTCTCTACATAAACTTGTCAACCTAGTCTGGGTAAAAAAAAAGACAAATGTGTGATTTGGGGGATGGTTTGCGATGATATAGTACACGAATAATCCGCCTGAATTCGGACAGAGAAAATGCAACATATGAATATAAGAAAACTGACAATCTCTTGTGAAAAGATAACGAGATGATAAAATGCTCCTCACATCATCGTCGAGTGAGCAGTCTACGCTTGCCACGTTTAGTTGTATGTACAGAATTCGCACGGGATGGAGACCAGCGATCATCAGAGGACTCGGAATCGATGCTGTCCTCATCGCTGTCAGCTTTGCTCGATGACCTGTTTGAATGCTGTTCTGAAGACTCGGAAGCCGAAACACAGGACATCTCGGAACTGAATATCGAGTCTTCTTCGGAAGTTTCTGTCTCTTCGTCCTCTTCTTCGAAATCTTCATCACGCCTTCGCCTTGAATGTGGACCATATTTCCTCGCACGCTTGCTTGCAGTAGATTGACGCGAGCCTCGTGGGCTGCGTCCAGCCCTGATGCGACGCGCTGTACCACCACCACGGCCAGGACGACTGGAGTTAGACACTGCACCGCGAGTGGCAGTTTGCCGACTGGAACGTTGATGTATCAATCGTGCGAGAGCAGCAGACTGGTTCTGCTTGAGCAGCCCTGGACGCTCACGAGAATTCGATACAGGTCCGGGAAAAACCGGAGTTGTGGAGGTCAGGAAGTTTTCTTCAGCTAAGGAACAGAGCAAGCAGAGGCTTGAATAAGCGATTGTATGATAGAAGGCCTACTGAAGCTGCAACAGGGAAACATAGGTTAACTTGTGGATCACGTGGCATGCGCTTGTGAATTTGTCTGTGACTTCGAACCATACTGATCAACCCCTTGCCTAACGGGTGAACTCACATGTAGTTTGTGCCGAAGCGCCAGTGAAGTAGGGTGAATGTCCTGTACCTGGCGTAATTCCGACTGTGCAAAGGAGACAGTTCTGAGAGCACCAATATTCTCAACTGGTGGTGTACAGTCGCCGAAATGTACGGCGATAGATAAACAATGTGTGAGCAGTGGTCTAATGGCCCGTATCGCTTAAAATATGCAACAAAGACACTATTGGTAGTCGGTTTGATCTGCACAACAGTGAACAGTGAAATTCACTTCGGACAGAGCGGTAGATGTGAAACTCCGGCTGGGTCATTCGCCGATATTCATATGGAATGCATTAACCTCGAAACAAACGTAAAATCGAATATAATGGGATTCAAAGAAGCACACTTTGAAACATTTTGCGAGAAAATACGAAGAAAAATGAAGGTAAGCTACCAATGAAAACAGAGTCAGGCCATCAACCCAAGTCAACGGCTCAAGTGGCGAATCTTACATGGTTCCCGTAAGTTTTGACGTTGGTACTTCCCCGGGATACACGGAAAGCTACCTACTGCATACACAGGTTAACTTATAGGACATCCACACTTACACAATTGTCAGAATGGGGCTAAATGCGTTCTGCACACAGAGAACAATAGTAGCACAATCAGCACACACTGCCACATGTGAATGATGGGTATGGTAATTTGTTGAAATATTGGTAGCTCGGGTGAGTTTATTGGTTGTTGATCAGGTGGCTGTTGATCTGTTCGCCGAGCTTGGCAATTGGCTTGCAAACGTTTCGTCACCATACGAG